CACCAAGCTCAACGCACAATACTATTTCGGAAAAGCACAAAAGCAACTGAAAATAAACCTGCTCAAATTGCATCATCCAACAAAAATAATAAAATAAAATAAAATAGAAGCAACCTCTTACTTCATTAACTTCTGTTGAATAGCATGTTTTGTGAAACTGCTAACAGATTGCAGGAGTTAGTTGTTCACGTTGCTATTTTTAGGCAATAGATAAGTCAAAGTATTTGATATGATTTTGATTCTAGAATCTTATCTCTAGCAGATTTTTTTCCAGATTTTCTCTAATTCTGTTTTGTTTATGTTATATAAAAGCATGGCTTATGACTCAATAAACATCAGACTTCTGCAATACAAAAGTATTCACTCTTGCTCTACCTTTTTCTGCTCTAATACCCAACAAAGTGGTACCAGAGCTCTCATCTTGAGGGATCTGTGAGGATTGAGAGAGTTTAAACACTTACCCTTATTACGATGAATCCAGAATTTTCCTCTACTTATCAACTTGGACCTCCCATATTTGATGGAACAAATTATCAAATGTGGGCTGTCAGAATGGAAGCGTATCTTGGTGGAAATGATTTGTGGGAGGCTGTAGAGGATGATTATGAAGTACTTCCTCTTCCAAACAATTCAACAGTTGCTCAAATGAAACACCATAATGAGAGGAGACAAAGGAAATCGAAAGCCAGAGCAAGTCTATATGCAGCTGTCACATCCACAATCTTTACCAGAATCATGACGTTGAAAACGGCACATGAGATCTGGAATTTCTTGAAGAAAGAATATGAAGGAGATGAAAAAATCAAAGGGATGCGAGTGTTGAACTTGATTCGAGAATTTGAGATGCAGAAGATGAAAGATTCAGAAACTATCAAGGTCTATTCCGACAGACTCCTTGACATAGTCAATAAAGTAAGACTCCTTGGTACTGATTTTTCCGATTCTAGAATAGTTCAAAAAATTCTAGTTACAATCCCTGAAAAGTACGAGGCTACAATCGCGGCCTTGGAAAACTCAAAAGATCTGTCAAGCATCACCTTGGCAGAGTTGTTAAATGCACTGCAGGCACAAGAACAAAGAAGGCTGATGAGGCAAGAAGGATCGGTGGAAGGTGCCTTTCAAGCCATATCACAATACAACAACAGGGGCAAGAACAAGAAAAACAACAAAAAGGTGCCTGGAAATAACAAATCTCAAGTATATCCACTTTGCCCTTATTGCAAAAAAACCAATCATCCGCAGAAAAGGTGTTGGTGGAACCCAAATGTAAGATGTCACAAATGTGGTCAGTTAGGGCACGTGGAAAAGATATGCAAGTCTCAACAGCAACAAGAAGAAGCCAAGGCTGCTGAGAATCAACCTCAGGAAGAGCAATTGTTTGCAGCTTCATGTTTTGCTACTAATAGCTCCATGGAAAGCTGGCTTATAGATAGTGGTTCTACAAACCACATGACTTATGATCGAGAGCTTTTCAGAAAGCTTGATAAAACTACTACCACTAGAGTCCGGATTGGAAATGGAGCTTACCTTGCTGTAAAAGGCATAGGAACAGTGGCAATTGAAGGGTACACAGGTTTGAAATTAATTTCTGATGTTTTATATGTTCCAGAAATTGATCAAAATCTTTTGAGTATTGCTCAGTTGTTGGAAAAAGATTATAAGGTGCTATTTGAAGATAAAAGCTGCATAATTAAAGATCCAGAAGGAAGAGAAATGTTCAGAATTCAAATGAAAGGCAAAAGTTTTGTTTTGGATCTGATGAGAGAGGAGCAAGCGGCTGTACACAAAGAAATTAATGATGCAGCGCTTTGGCATAAGAGATTGGGCCATTTTCATCATGTTGCTCTGTTGTTCATGAAGAAAAACAACTTAGTAGAAGGTATGCCTGAGTTAGATGAAGAGCTTCCTACTTGTGCTGCTTGTCAATATGGGAAGCAATCAAGGCTTCCTTTTCCCCAAAGTACAACGTGGAGAGCTACACACAAGTTGTAATTGATACATACAGATGTTGGAGGACCTCAGAAAACACCATCTTTGAATGGTAGTAAGTTTTATATTCTCTTCATTGATGATTACACTAGAATGTGTTGGATTTATTTCATGAAATTCAAATCTGAGGTTGCTGACATCTTTTGGAAGTTTAAAGCGTGGGTTGAAAATCAAAGTAGTTGCAGCATACAGGTGATCAGGTCCGATAATGGAACTGAATATACCTCAAAAAAATTCAACAAATTCTGTGAAGATGCAGGCATAGAGCACCAACTGACAGCCCCCTACACTCCCCAGCAAAATGGAGTGGTGGAGCGTAAAAATAGGACGCTTATGGAGATGACAAGATGCTTGTTGCATGATAAAGGGCTGCCAAAGAAATTTTGGACGGAAGCTATGAACACGGCAATTTTTATACTAAACAGATTGCCAACGAAAGCTCTACAGAAAAAGACGCCATTTGAAGCATGGCATGGCTACAAGCCAAAATTGCTTTATCTAAAGACCTTTGGTTGTTTGTGTTACTTTTATATTCCTCAGGTTAAAAGAGACAAGTTAGACAAGAAAGCAAAGTCGGGGATTTTTGTAGGCTATTGCTCATCTTCAAAGGCCTACAGAATCTATTCACCACAAAGCAACAAAATAATTGTGAGCAGGGATGTTAAATTCCTTGAGTCAAACAGCTGGAGTTGGGAAAATGAAGATAAATTTGAAATGCAGGTAGAGAATGATGATGTCGATGAAGAACCTGTTAGAGGAACCAGATTACTCTCTGATATTTATCAGAGATGTAATGTTGCTGTTATGGAGCCTGCAGGATTTAAAGAAGCTACAACTGATCAGAAATGGATAGTTGCAATGAAGGAGGAGCTCAAAATGATAGATAAAAATCAAACTTGGGAGTTGGTGGACAGACCTACACACAAAAAGGTGATAGGTGTCAAATGGGTTTATAGAACCAAATTAAATTCTGATGGTTCTATAAACAAGCACAAGGCAAGACTCGTCGTTAAGGGATATGCTCAGATGTTTGGAGTAGATTTCTCCGAAACATTTGCTCCAGTTGCCAGATTGGATACCATACGAATGTTGTTGGCTCTTGCTGCACAAAAGGGCTGGCTTATACATCAATTAGATGTTAAGTCAGCTTTTCTAAATGGATACCTGGAGGAAGAAATCTTTGTGGAGCAACCTGAAGGATTTGCTGTTCAAGGAAAAGAAAATAAGGTGTATCGTCTAAAAAAGGCATTGTATGGTTTAAAACAGGCACCGAGGTCTTGGTACAGCAGAATTGATGCACACTTGATGAACTTAGGCTTTGAAAAAAGTCTGAGTGAATTTACCTTATATATCAAAAAGGTTGATGGTGAAATACTTGTGATATCTTTATATGTTGATGACCTTCTTGTTACAGGAAGCAGCAAGGAGTTGATTGATAAGTTCAAAAAGGAGATGGAAGATGTCTTTGAAATGACTGATATTGGTATGATGTCATTCTTTCTTGGTATGGAGATACAACAAAAGCAAAATGAAGTGTTTATATGCCAGCAAAAGTATGCAAAGGAGGTCCTGAAAAATTTAACATGGAAGGGTGCAAATCAACTGCGACTCCAATGAATCAAAAGGAGAAGTTTTGCAAAGAAGATGGAGCTGAAAAAGTTGATGAAGGGCTGTATAGAAGCTTAATAGGCTGTCTAATGTATTTGACTGCAACCAGGCCAGATATCATTCAGGCAGTGAGTCTGTTATCAAGATACATGCACTGTGCTAGTGAAATTCATTTTCAAGCAGCAAAAAGGATTTTGAGATACGTTAAAGGTACTGTTGATTATGGAATAAGGTTCAGTCAAGTTAAAAATTTCAATTTTCATGGTTTTTCTGATAGTGATTGGGCTGGATGTGCTGATGATATGAGGAGCACCTCAGGTTACTGTTTTATTTTTGGGTCTGGAATTTTTTCATGGTGTTCAAAGAAGCAGGATGTCATAGCTCAATCCACTGCAGAAGCAGAATATGTAGCTGCCGCTGCTGCTGTGAATCAAGCACTATGGATAAGAAAACTCATGACTGATCTACACATGAAACAGGAAGATTGCACTCAGATATTTGTTGACAATGAGGCTGCAATTTCTATTTCCAATAATCCAGTATTCCATGGCAAAACGAAACATTTCAAGATAAAGCTTTATTTTTTGAGGGAAGTGCAAAAGGAGGGAGAAGTGCAGCTGATTTTCTGTAAAACAGAAGATCAAAGTGCTGATATCTTTACGAAGGCTCTTCCCAAGGAAAGATTTGAGTTCTTGAGGCAAAAACTTGGAGTATGCAGTTCCAAAACCAAGGAGGAGTGTTGAATAGCATGTTTTGTGAAACTGCTAACAGATTGCAGGAGTTAGTTGTTCACGTTGCTATTTTTAGGCAATAGATAAGTCAAAGTATTTGATATGATTTTGATTCTAGAATCTTATCTCTAGCAGATTTTTTTCCAGATTTTCTCTAATTCTGTTTTGTTTATGTTATATAAAAGCATGGCTTATGACTCAATAAACATCAGACTTCTGCAATACAAAAGTATTCACTCTTGCTCTACCTTTTTCTGCTCTAATACCCAACAACTTCTCATGAAAATAGCAGGTTGGAGGCTACGTAATTGGGCACAGAGGACTGGTTTTACTTACTGTTAGGGACGCAGAGCATGAAGTTCCAAGCCATCAACCAGAGCGTTCACTAACCGTGATCGCATCTTTCCTTCAAGGGAAACTTCCTCCTCCCAAAAAAAAAAAAAATTCCTCCTGAACTTCGATAGCACTGCTCATTCGACTGCCAATCCTACAGCAGTAGAGATTTATAAAGCAACATGCTGAATCAATGAGAACTGTATCCTCTATTTGCCATTGCACAAACTTAGCTTCAAGGGGAATTAATGGCATATATCCAGCTAATCTCCTCGTCAATGAGACACAACATGCCACGAGACTTGTATACGGAAACTAATAAATTTTTGGGGGACAAGATCGGCCAGCCAAAATATATATTATTTATTGCTCAATTTATTATTAGCAGGAGGATCAATAGTTTATATAAAGTCAAAGCTGAACGCATTGACATATGATTTCAACCCCAAAAAAAAAAAAAATTAAAACATTTACACGACAAAAAAAATACTATATACAGTTTTAAGAATTTTTCCAGCCCCCCGTGTCTCAGATCTCTAAGCTACACCTTCCTTGTCCCATAGAAAAATGGGCTTGCTCATAAGCAGAACAATCAACATTTTCCCGTTAAATTGTCCACAATCTTCTCGCTCTCTCTCAAGTGTTCCTAGAAGCATACAGTCCATCCTGAATGATGCACTACTTTTACAGTCTTCACCTGCAAAGTTCATGGTCAAATCAAAATCACAGGTTTGAGCTACATATAAGGAGACTATTATATATGTCGTCTTATGTTACCTGGAAAGGTGGAAAAGCCATTCAGAAAGGACTATTAGACTCTCTGGACTTGCTCCTGAACTTTCAAAGCTTCCACAATGCTGTCAACCCAGCTGCAAGGAGGCATGAAATGAGATTGCTTAATGTAGTAGATGTTACTAGTCGATCTCTTGTTTTGAAAATAAAAGATGAAAATATTACGTGGAAGACCACAATCGAAGAGGACTTGAGAATTGGAGAACTGTTTGAAGTTGATAAAAAAAAGAGGAGGATATTAGTGGAAGCCAACTTGCAGACCAATGGATCACTAACACAATGGTGTAGTCCAGGAAAGAGTGAAAAAAGGGGGTCAATACTTGGCATAGATGAGCCTGGAAAGCTTTAAAAGTACTGGCTTCAGACCATTGCATAGCTGAGGCACTGGGGCGACTTGAACCTATATCGGAACATATTTCTGCCTTCATGCCACAATAGATACAGCACCTTCACTCTACTCATAATTAAAGACGTTGCAGAAAGTAAATTCCCTTGAAAAGAAAACTATTACCCATCAAGACCAGGATCTACTGGATAGTATACATTTGTTAACCCTAGTCTTTTTGCAGCCGAAGCAGTTGTCTCGCCAATACAAGCAACAGCATTACCCCACCTCTCCAGTTCTGGAATAAGATTAATCCAAGCCCTATTGCAGAGCAGATGCAAAATGAGCATTAATAACAGCAAAAAATGCAGGTAAAAGGTAAAGCACTGACTGCAAAAGTAGATAAAGTCTTGCATTCATCTCATGTAATATACGTCATTAAAGTGATATTACCACAAAGCCAGAACTAAATGTTGATCTATTGTCCAGACCAACTGATCCAGAGCAGTCAATGCCAGTAATAGAACATTTTTTTTCCTTTTACACACATGAACTGACATACACAACATTGTAAGAGAAAGAACCTTCTGCTCTGCGGTAATTTAAAAGGGCAAAAGTTTTACCGCAGAGCAGAAGGTGATGCCACAGCAACAACAGGAGCCGCAAGTGCCTGTCTCAAAACCATCTGATCAACTTGATCCACAGGTACCTACACATTTGGTAGAGCTCAGAGTCAGCAATATGAAGCAGGCAAACACAAAAAGAAAAGGATATTTGGCAATTGGCATGACTTGAGCAAATGGAGACTACACATGCAATAACCTGCTATTCCCCAGGTAGCAAGGAACTGGGAAGTTATAAACATACTGAATAGCTTCCATGATAAAAATCCTAATTAATAACTATCCAAAACTCATTTCCCCAGACAACAGTTAAATGAACATGGAAATCCAAGCCCTTGGAACCAGCATAGAAAATTATTGTATTATGAAATTTTAAAATCAAAGTGAATGACACAGCCAAACTGAATCCTTAACTCCATAGACGTGAACAAGTTGTATCCCTAGTTCCAGGCAACAAAATATTGAGATGCATGCCAATCCCACCCAAAAAAAAAATCATCTAAACAAAAGCACATAAGGAACACAATGCAAAAACAGTAGCAGACAACTGTCACTATTGAATTCCCATCATGATATCTACAAACAGCAAATCATACATTGCCATCAAGGCATGAAAGCAAAGACGAGAATTTATTGATAATTTCACACCATATTTACCGTTGTGTATGTATTAAGCCGAATGACCTCAAATCCACGCTCCGAAAGACCTTCCTCTGGAAATTATTAGAAAACACATCTACTTAGTATTGCTTTTATTATATATAATCACATATGGAAACAAAGAGCAAAAGGAACATGCTCTGCAAGGATGAACGTAACTGCAAAAACAGATAAATGGTATCAAAATGCTGGGAAAGAAAAGCTCAAGGAAATGGCTAAACTCCACCGAAATAGAATCCCTTTATGTAGAGATAACCTTCAGCATCATTCATGATTCGACAGAGAATCACCATATTGCAAAATGAGCCATAACTTGAATACATAAAGTTTCTAAAACTACTTAGTATTGCATCTCTTCATTTATGTTGTCCATCTCTCCATATTCTCCTCTAATAAAACTAGAGAAAAAAATCTTCAGCAATTTATTACACAGCCTCTCATTATCTTCAAAGATGCAGAAGAAATAGAACTGAAGTCGCTACATAAGAAATATCCAACTCCAAATCTTTTCAGTTAATAAGATTAGCTTAATCTTAATTAATATAGATCAGTTCCAGGAAAATGGAAAGTAAAACATAACTTACTGATGATTATGCCTGTAGAGACAGCAAAACGGAAAAACGGCATTACATAGGCCACCAATATGGCAGGTGATGAAGCGATGATTGAGATGAGTTTCTTAAGTGCTTGTAGATGTTAGTTATACTAATCTACAATGTGCTTAGATGAAATAGAGTAAGTTTGGTATCCAGTAAGTGGAAAAGAAAACCAAGATGCCTGTTCACTCAAAGCACTTCTAGTGCATACATGTTAACTTATGTGGTGTTTTTTCACTTTCTAGCATATCAAAGGATAATATAATACACCTGTGCATATAGATACTTGTCTGTGTGTATGTGTGCGCGCAGAATCTTTATAGATGAAAGTAACACATACCAATATCACTGCTAGCTTTTGCTGAAGCAGGATATAGGACACTACATCTTTCATTTCCATGCTTTGGAAGCTCTGAAGCCAAAATTTTGCCGGTAGCTGAAAATTACAATTGAATTCAAGTTTTCAGGTTTTCAGCAAGCAAAGGTGGCTGCCCATTTTGGTGAGGAAATAGACACACAAGCAACAAGCAGTAACAATATACAGAAAAATATTTTCTGTGGCATACTGTCCAAGGTTGAGAAATACTTTAACCGCAAACCTTTTGATGGTGCAAAAGCAACATGTAGGTACTGTTTTGATTGTTGTGCAGCTTTTTCAAATATACTAGCTGTACCACCACCAACGACACCAACCTTAACATTTGGGGTACCTGCTGCTCTGTAACAGAAATTTGTTACAAGTTTATTGACCAGGTATCTTAAAAGATCACGATCAAGAGTAGCAGAAATAAATGGCTAACTCATGCGCATTACTTAATTTGAAGAGGGTAATTCTTCTGTCAAGTCAATTTTCTAGTGGATTTCCTGTCCACTAGGTGACTTTGTCTTGTTATTATAATTTCCTCTAGCAGAAAACTGACATGCTTGAGTGAAATCTTCACCCTAAAGGCGATTCTAAGATATGCCAACAGAAAATAAGAAGTCTGCTGTAACAAAACTGCGAGTCCTGCTGTGACTGTCTTTTAAAATGCTTCATTTTGGAATAATTCCAATTACCCTCTTTCTCCAGTGGGCATAAAGTTCTGCAGACACAATCCTGACTCTCATATATTTTAGAATTGGCTATTGGATTCAATTCACATTTATCCCACTATTACTAACCTTATCCAATAGGTTATAAAGCGATCGAGACATATGCATAACCAAACTCTCCTCTTATTCTCAGCTTTAAATTAAAGGGGAACCAAACATAAAAAGTTCAGCATTCAAAAATGCAGTTATAACCTAGGCCAAGGCAAAACTAGCATTGCATAGTCATGAAACGGGATCACAGGACTTCAGAAATGTGGTTAAAACATAATTTTTGCTTATTTACTTTCATAAACTCAAATGGCAAAAAAAAAATGTATCATGAGAATCTTCAAATTTCATTTGTCATCAGATACATTCTTTGGAGAACCATCTTTGTAGGTTACCAGATAGGGCCAGAAGCAATACTTTTCCAAAGAATGCAGAAGTACTTATCAATTAAGAGATGGATCATGTTCAAAGATAACCTACGTCTTCCCACTTCAGCTACAGTCAGGAAAAACTTACTTCCAAGCATCAAGGAAAACTGTTCCTGCTTCCGGTGAAGTTACGATGACCCAGTCAAAAGCAGTCTCTGTTGCCACAAGGAATAAGAAAGGCATGGACTTGGGATCAATAAAGAATCAATACTAGATTTTACTCTTTCTTATTATGAAATCAAAGTGTGAAAATAAACTAGGGTGAAGCACACAACGGAAATAAATACCAGAGCAATCAGGCATATCAAACACTATCGAGTATAACAGTTAAGCAATCAACACTCAAGCAGCAGGCTGATGGATGATGCACACAGCTTTAGCTAACACTCCCGTCGCCCTATTTCCAAAATCTTTCCCTCCCTCTCCATTCGTAGTAACCATGATTATCACATGAACAAATAAATTTGATCACGTAGACATTCCCAGTAAACTAGGCAATTGGGTGAGTTTCAAACTAATGCAAACCACGAATGGGGAATGAACTCACCACTTAACAAACACGACAGCCTGTTTGAATCAGGTAACAGCTCATGCTGGATAAGAGGAAGCTCTAGACAATCAATTCCATGTTTCCCCTGCAGCACATGATGAAAATTCCATCTTAATCCCGGGTTTTCTAATTTATGAATCCAATCAGGATACTACCTTCAGCATACTACACTTATGATGGTGTTAGAAAGGCACTAAAGGAATGCCAGTACACTTGCAGTATACATTTGGTGGAAAATGATGCTCGATAGTGTTTTTTTTTTTTTTCCCAACAAACAGCTGACTTTCAGCTCATTTCTACAGAAGCAACAGTAAGACAGTAAACAAAGCCACATTTCAGCTTAGTATATGATCAAAAACCTAAAATGCGTGAAACGACGCCCATAATACAGCATTAAAACTCGTAATTCAGGTCTACATACTTTACACTGAAACCAACGGCCACACCGTTCCTGGAGGCAACCAGAAGATTTACGAGTAACTACATCAAATGCAAAATGCTAATACACATACATTAACATAATTGCTGCTACAGAGAAAGAGAGACAGAGACAGAGACAGAGACAGAGAGAGAGAGAGAGTGGTTACATACCAGAGCATTTATGAGCTTCGCGTTTTTGCCACGCTCTCTAGTGACCACGACTTTCGGCTGCGACGTTGAGGAAGCAGACGACGCCGAATTAACTGAAGACGAAGCACGCAGGCACGTTATCCTGCGAAATTGCAGAGAGGACGACGACGACGACGGAGCAAGAGGAGGAGGAAGATGAAGAGAGGAGGAGGTGAGAGAAAGCCAAGGCATTATTGTGGTAAACGTGGAGCTAGGAAAATCGGGCGAAAGAGCCAGCTGCAACCCCCTACCAAATTTTTTATATTTAATACTGCTACTGCCATATTTATCCTAGTCCTGACCCACCTCAGTCTCACTCAATTTAATTCCTAGTGCCTTGACAATTGAAAAACAAACAACTTTGGGCAAATGTCCAATTTGGTCCTAAAACTTCATCTCACCAATATTTATAAGTCTTTCGAAATTTATTTGCTTTTATTTCTGTAACAATCTTCAATCGCTCAATATAGTAGTATTCAATATCAATAATAACGTTGTCTAAAAAAATTAATATGTATGCGTCACACCATACGATTAGGAATCATAAATATTCTTTTTATCTGTTTTTCTCAATTAATATGTATGCGTCACAAATCATAAATATCATAAATCGCTCAATACTACTAGGAGTGTTTGGATAGCAATTTTTTTCAAATAATATTTCGCTTACATCATAAATGCATTTTTCAATTCATCTTTTTATCTCACATATATCACATCATAAAAACTGTTATAATAATTATTACAAATAATATTTCAAATAATATTTTATCCAAACAAATTATTTGAAATCATAAATATTCTTTTCATTGCTTTTCTCCTGCTAGTTGAGTTAAAGTTAAGTTTATTGGAAGGAGTAAATAATTTCTCACTCGAGCAACTATTGACAGAGTAAATGGGTGCAGAAACTTAAAGAATAGGGGCCAAATGGTTGGGATCAAAAGTTTGGGGACTAAATCTATCTTGGTAAATTAGTGGATGACTGGATTCGCTATTTCCGCAAGAAAAATTGATTAATTAAGCTTGGTTGATTGATTGATGGCCTAATCCAGATATTTTGGAATAAAAGTGGTCTGACTTCGACGTATTAGTGGTAAGTTGGCCCCCCCACTGGGTTGAAGGGACACCGCGGCCCACCTCGTGAAATGATGGCTCCTGCTCCTTTATTAGGAAACGAAGTGGAATCGCGATGCTTCCCAGAAGGGTTGATCTGGGCCGTCTATCGGATTGGGAGGATAATTAAAGGAGTTGTCGGGGGAGTGATCTGACGGTGAGATCTGGGACTGGGTTCCCGTCGGGTGCGCGTCAACGTTGCTGATTGATTGTTGTGGTGCAACCCAACTGCCAACATCGCAACCAAGCTCATGCACAATCTGCTGATGTGTGCCCTCTGATGAGGCAGGCTCGTACAAGCTGGAACATGCTTATGCCTTATGAAAGATGAAATGATATTTGAATTGAGTACGATTCAATAAAATTTAATTCGAAATTGATTCTCTAATTATTCAAATAATAATTAAGATTGAGTAGCATTTCTGTGTTTACCAAATATTTAAATTCCACTTGATTAGCATAAATTAAAATTTATGATATTTTGATAAAATTAATATCTGAAATTTAAAATCTAAAATCTGAAATTTGAATCTATTAAATTATTGAGTCGTTAAACACTAAAACTCTAATATCTGAATTCTTTAAGTTTTGAAACCCTAATATTCAAGCATATTCTGCATTAAGTAGGAAGTGTACCGCTATCACTAATTTTTTTTTTAAAATAAGATGTTATATTTTTTGTTGCCAAACAAGTCTAAAGCTTTTAAACACTAGATTGAATGATCAAACAAGATCTAATACATTTAAACGAACTCGAATCGAGTTTGGTTCAATAAAAAAAACTCATTTAAACTTGGATTAGTAAATAAATTAATTAATTAAATTTAAATACAATTTTAACCTTATTAAACTAGGCGACTTGAGTGTTTGATTTGATTTAACTTATTTATACACCCACTTGTAGTTCCATTTTTGGTAAAATTCATACTCTCTACTTAAACGAGAAGATTATCCGATTTGGCATTATAGTCTTCCAAAATGCAACCTTTAAAACGTATTTTTGTGCTTGATCTCCTAATGGAGCTCACACTTCGACAATGGTGCATGAGAAATGGGGCCTTTATCAAATCTCAAGAGCCCGGAAATTTCACCTCACATGAAGATATGGGCTGTCAACAAATGCTTAACAAGAATGTCTAGTACACTAGTTGTCACTCAATGGAAATGGGGCAGTGACAACCGTTCCTGAAGGTTCACGGCCACGATGTGGCCTCAAAAATTTGTGCGGCTCAGATTACACCATATAACTCGATTTTCACGTCATGTGTGGGATCCACAAAAAAGTGTTGTAAAATTACGTCGTGTGCAAAGTAAGTTACATCGTGTACAATAAAAATTACGCGCCGTGAAAAATAAATACAACCTGCAATCGTTACCCGCACAAACGATTGCAGGTGCAACCGTTTGTGCCCCTTGTCCCTCACTCAATTGGGCCTGACAACATTGTACCACTAGCCTTGACACCAACGTGGTATGTGCATCAATAGTAATCGACCATCACTTCTTGCACATTTATTATTTTTTCCTTTTCCTCCAGTCCACAGAACGCCGACCTCAGCCGGAGTTAACTTTTCCGAATGGGAGGAGCATTCTGCGAGCCATTAAGGTTTTTATAACTTATAGTAAGTGTGGCACATTTATCAGAAGGAACTGAACACTACTCCAATTCATAATTGACCAAACTCCTCAACGAATGTATAAAGTATATAGCAACGTGAACACCACAGAATTCGAATACATCCCTGCCTCTTTATCGTCATCATCAGAGGTGCCAGAGCAGCAAGTGCTCGGATGAGCAGGCTAATAACAAATAAAGAATTAAGTGCTCACAATCCATATCAATGTTATTTATTCAAATTAAGAAGTTCCAATATTATGCTCACACTTCTAAACAAATGTTTAATCAAGCCCCTAGAGAACAACTACCTGATTTCTAGTCAAAATTCAGTTCCCCTCTCAGATTTCGGAGGGAATAACAGGGTTCCAAATTCCCACAAGCTCAACAGAGAGACAAAAGCACCCATGTGCCTCATCTGCTGAATCGCTGTGAGCTCGGCCGTCTAGCTTACTTGTTGCTGGTGGGTTCCGTACATGGGATAGGCTCCATAAGCAGCTGCTGCTGCTGCATACATCCCTGGGTCATGAGGTGGTGGCATCGCATACCCATAGCCATCGTAAAAGTGACCTCCATAGTATGCCCCCGTCCACTGGTTTCCAAATTCAGCTCTTAACTGCAAAATAACAATTCATCAATTATGAAATAGTTGCAGCCAACAACAAAGCAGATGAAACAGCATTCAGACTGCCAACTACTCAAGATGCAGCCTAACAGAATATTTCTCCACCAGTACAAGTTAGTAATGGCAGGAACCAAAAGGAGAAAACGAAAGGAGAAAACAAAAATGAGCAAATGGCTAATCGAGGGCATTTCATATACACAATTGTAGAACTGTTACTAGCCGACCTTTTGCTGCCACTAAATCACTCCAATGACGACATATTAGAAGCAGATGACACACTAGGAAAACAGTTAAGCATGCATATCCTGATTGTCTGGATTTTTTCACAAATTTTTCATGAAAAGCGAAGGTGACCTGTAATAGAAGGAATTAATTTTTTCAATCTCAATTATTGAAAGAAACAATGTGCACAGGAATGAACTGATATAAGAGAAAGTTGCTACCTGCTTATTTGCTGGATTACGCCCCCAAGAGAGCCTCACAGTTTGCTTTCCAATCGTGGTACCATTCAACTTCTGCAGTGCCTCCTCGGCATCATTTCTGTCCAAAAAATGGCCACATTCATTCCGTTGTAACTGAACTACCAGCGGAAAATCTCTGTATAAAATTTGAAATATAATGAATTAGATTGGACCAGAAACATACCGATTAGCAAATTGTACAAATCCACATCCTTTTCCAACTGGAATCTTCACCGAAACTATTTCCCCATACTGCAAGAACGGTTGCCTCAGATCCTCATCACTGACATTTGGATCAAGCCCTCCAACGAATATCTACAACCATAATATATTAGCCAAAGGAAGTGGGGGAAAAGAAAAGGAAAAGTATAAAGGCTGAAATCAACTGTTGTATTAGGAGAATCTCCATCAGATTGAGAGCCCTGGCCTGATGAACTATTAATGTATCCACCTGTCAAAACCAATCCAAAACAATTAGAACTTCTTGAGCAAAAATTTCAGAGCCGATGCAACTGTAATAGATCAAAAATGTCCATGGTCAAACTAGAAAACAAAAGGGTTTGAGATATCCCATTACACAAGCATCTGTCTCATTTCAAACTAAACCAATCACCCAAGAACTCGATGTAGAATGATATCTAATTGATCAAGCCATGTATTAAGGCTTTGAAATGAGAAGACAGGCAAAATCACTTGGCATAAAATCTTTCATCCTAGGGCGGCTTCACAAGCAAAAAAGACATCAAATGTTCTCTTTGATTCCAAATTTCATGGTCGTATAAAGTCACATGCTTCTGCCACTTAAGTTGCAGGTTGTCGTGCATCTATTTGCATAATGGAATAGGAAAAAGTAATCTTAACAGAATTCCCTTCTGTATCTTTGTCTGTATCTGTAATTTAACATAAAGGTAATCATTGTAGGCTGAGATAAACATATAAGTTCTTATCAATAGTTACTTCAACCTTGGATCAACATAAATGTAATCCGTAACCCAAACGCATTGTAGAAGAGCACAATAAATAGAAAACACCTGACAGGAAAAGCTTGAATATCTAGTCAACAAACTTGATCGCATTGATACACAGCATCAAATCCAATCATCAGCAAAATCAATGGAAGTTACCTTGTGAAGAATACTGCTGTTGGTATCCAGATGATTTCCTGGGGGTTGCAGCACCAATACGCATGGGCCTGCTTGAACAATAGATGCCATTCATTTCAGTCATAGCCTGTGATCTCTCATTATCATCTCCAAACCTTACAAAACCATAACCCTTTGAACGTCCAGTATTTGCATCAATGACAACTTTAGCAGCTTTAACAGAAGGATATCTACTGGCAAAAGTATCATGCAATAAGCTATCAGTAACATCTGCAGCTAAATCTCCTACAAAGATAGAAAGATCAGAACCATTATTCGAACGCTTGTCGCCCGTGCTAAATGTAGCCCAATTCAGACGAAAAGGTTGTTCTGTGTTAGGCATGATAATGCATGGATATGCTTGCAGGACTTTCTCAGCTGCAGCATGCGAAAAGAACTCCACAAATCCATATCCCTCAGAGAAACCGGTTTGCTTATTGCGAATGACCTTTATAGAGGCAACCTGCAAGAAGATTACGTAAATTGGGGGAAGATGTACAACAATTATAGATGTAAGCACATGAACAAGTTACTAATGATGAAACATCAAGAATATATTTTGCATACCCTAAAGCCATATTTTAGTTGTAGAATTGGAAACATGTTTGAAGATGATAACAAACTATGCGAAGCAAAATCACAAATTTAATGTTCCTGACACGATTGCGTCTTAAACTCTCCAGGAGCAACGTCACACAAATATGCTGGATTCTAACAAAATTTGGACAAGACAAGTGCTTTGGAAAGAGATATTCTATCACATTTTCGCTCACATGCTTCATGCATGGTGATTGCTATATTCATTTAAATTACTGAATGCTTAATTATCACCATTCTTAATTTGTCTGTCTGAATAAGTAAATCTTGTAAAATTTGCCAGTTTTAGAGGTGCCTAAGCCTTTACTTCCACAGCACTTTATTCAAACACACTGAACCATCTAGCTGGACAATTAAAGCAATTAATGAAAAGTAATTCACCACTAAAAAATGTGATATGAAATATTTTATCTCAGTATATAGATGTACAAAACTAAAATTGCTACCTAAAAATGTATACTTAAAAAAAATGCCAGCTTGGCACGGAAAAACGGAGCTCTGGTAAAGATTTGATTTGGTCAATTGAATGAACTTTCCTTGTTTGAAGAAAAATCCCAGCTTCGAACCAAGAAAGAAACCTATAGTTAAAAAATCATCTAGTCATTCAATCTGACAAACTTAGAAACTACATTACATATTACCTCAAAAATTTTAGTTTCTCTAAGAAATAATACCAAACATGGGCACTAATATCCAGCTGTGCGCATCAAATCATCAGCATTCAATTCTCCTTTCTCATAAGAACTAAGCTGTTTCTCGCCACAAACTACATCACCATGGATTCATACTCTCTTTCAAAATAAGATTTAGTGTAAAAAACAAATAACGAAGACGAAAATCATTCTTTAAATTCATCGACAAAAAAATCTACCGACCGACATTATAGACGTAACGCGTGTGAAATCTCAAGCCATGTTTACCAAACAAACGTTCAAAACAATTAAAGCCCAGAAAAGGCATGTGAATGTTGAACAAGGTAATGTTCAGATTAGACCTCGCCAGTGGAAGCAAAGCAGCTGCGAAGATAGTCCTCGTCCATCCAATTATGGAGGTCGCCGACCCAGATCGTTCTATTCTCACCATTAGATCCTCCACCTTGCTGCTGCTGTTGCTGCTGAGGAGGCCCTTGAGGCTGCGGAGGAGGAGGATGGTGGAGGTGGTGGTGATGGTACGGCATGTAGTGCGGCGGGTAATGTGGGGCTGGCATCATATGATGCGGCATTACCATCGCGGCCGCTGGATACTGCATCGCCACCCACTGCTGCTGGGGTGCAGCCGCCACCGCTGGTGTCACCGCCGCAGGAGTAGCAGCCACCCCCTGCTGCGGCGGCTGGCTATTGCTGTTATTATTATTGTTGATATTACTATTATTAGTATTTTGTGATTCCGAACCGCTGTTGGCTTGCATCTTCTTCTGCAGTGGAAGAAAAAGAACACAAACACACGCACTAAAAAACACACTTTCTTCCTCCTCTATTCAAACCCTAATACTGTATTACTACCCCGAAAAAAAAAAGAATAGTGTGTATGAAAATAGATGCTTTTTAATTTATTTCAGATTGACGGAGAGATAAGCTTCGAATACGTACAGGATGAATCTGGGCTCTGAGAGAAAAAACACAAGAAGAGGGGGGAGGCTAAAGAGAAGATTTTAAGTGAGGACGGCGGATCCGTGGGAGAAGCCTTGGGGCAACGCGTATGGTACGATAGCCGTTGGATGAAACGGTGGATTTTAATTAGATCCGTTAGATTATTGGATGATGTGGATACTTGATAGGGTAGGGGGTACCCAAAAAAAAGAGAGAGAGAGAGAAAGAAAGAACCCGGATGGGATAGATATGTACGAGTAGTTAAAAAGTGGGGGTACGCTGCTGTTTTTGGGCTTGGTCGGCGGTCGGCCGCCAGATTTGGGAGAAGTTAGAGAGAGAAAGGGAATGAGAGATTTTCTCAGGGCTTTTTGGTTAGTGTGGATGATTATTGTTGGTTATTGTTTGTTTTTTGTTGGGGTAGGAATAGGTTACCCTTTTAGGTCTGGGTTTGGGCTTTCGGATTTTGGAAATTGGGGAATGCTGATGTATGATAGGTAACTGAGCTGATACGGCCTGCGCTACCGTATTCGTAGTACTGCTTAATTCCACTGCTATAAAGGGAAGTGACTTATTATTGTGTCTTTACCTTGGTTTTTGGTGTTGCTAATGATAACATGGCCACCTTTTAGTCCAACCAAAACAAAAAAAAAAAAAATATGGCTATCGAAGTCTGTTAAGATATATTTGTGCCCGTTACTCATTAGACACCTGTTAAAAAAATTTAAAATATTTATTTTTGTCCTTTCTACATTATCATACAAGTGAAAATGTTCTGCCTGCCATGCACTTCATAGTGCATACAAGGAAACAATACCTAGATTAATCCAATCTAAGACTTGTAAAATGATGCAATAATTAGTACCTAATGACCAATCAAGTTATTTTCAAGCAATAAAAGATATTTTCTTGGAGAGGGTACTGCAAGGAAATGACATCTTACCGTAGGTGAAGAAATTTATAATTGCAATCCAAACACAACCTTAGTTTTTCAATATGTTTTGATATATGTTTTAGCGCTAGATTATATGTTCAGTGGTGATAGAAATGGGGTAATGAAACTTATAAAACCATGGTAACTATGTCATGTATAGAAGTAAGGTCCGAGGATCACTAGAGTGGCATACAAATTAAACTTTAAACTTTAAGAATGTGCCTGCACACTCTATTATTGTGAATCGAATAAAATTAGATCATGATTATAAAATATTTTTGTCTATAGTTAAAACATGTTAGTACTATTTTTGGGCATGTATTGGTTATATGTTTATAAAGATTAAAAAGAAAAGTGCTATATTATGTAAATAATGACTGGGGTCCGTATGAATTAAGTATTTTTAGAGGTATTTTTCAAATACTATATTGTAGTATTGTATATCAAAAACTTGACACTACTATATATTTTAGGGGATTTTTAAAATTTTAAAATTTTATTAAAAAAATCTTACCACAACCATCCATCAAACCTCTTCTCCTCCCTCCATCACTGCCATCACCCCTTCCTATCCTCTCTTCTCCACCGCCATCATCCCTTCCCACCTCTCTTTTCTCTCTTCCTATTTATCTTCCCCCTCCTTTTCCTTCTCTTTCTTTTCCCCCCAACCCCTCCCTTGCCTCCACAATCTTCTAGTAGCCTACGACCAACTAGATCATAGGGAATTGGGAATAGAGGAAGAAGGAGAGAGGAAAGAAGAGAAGGGATAGAGGAGAGAGAATGAGGGGGTGGTAATGAAGGGAGAAGGAGAGGAGGTGGTGGGTGATGATGGTAAGAATTATTTTATTTTTTTAATTCTTTAAATTTTTATTAGGTGTATTCGAGTTTGGTATGCATGACTTTTTCTACTTACATACATACCTATATACATATATTTTAGGTTTAACTTAATATGATTTTTTTTAAAAACTTCAAAAACAAAAACAACCAAATCCAAGCAGACCCTACATGTATTAAGTTACAATTTGATGAGTGTAGTTTGTTATGCATGACTTCTTCTACTTACATACATATCTTTTAGGTTTAATTTAATATAATTTTTTAAAAAAAATCACATTTAGCACAATTTTTGAATTTAACTAAAGTTGATTTATTGAAATCACATTTAAGAGAAAATCTAAATTTTAATTGGATGTAATTTTTTGAAAGTAAAATTTACAACAAAATCTTGATTTAATTGAATGTGATTTCTTTTTTTTTTTTTTCGGCACAGGGGTGTCCGGGTCAATCCTTACGGGGCCCGACTAATCCCCTGCGGTCCGGGCCCGGAGCCCCAACCCGGCCCGAACACGTTAAGTGCGCGGAGGAATCCAGCGGAGCGGAGACTCGAACTTGGGACCTCAAGGGTCACCGGTGAGAGGCGCTACCGCTGGACCATTCACGCGGAGGCAATTGAATGTGATTTCTTGAAGGTCACATTCATAACAAATTCATAATTTTAACTGAACTTAATAATTTGAAAGTCATATTCAGTAAAAATTTTTAGACTTAACTTAATTTGATTTTTTAAAGTTATATTTAGTGCAAAATTTTGAATTTAATTTGAGTTGTTCAAAGTCACCTTTACAACAAAATCTTCATTTTAACTGAATGAAATTTCTTGAACATCCCATTCAGTACAAATTCATGAATTTTACTTAATTTGATACTTTAAAAATTACATCAAGTAAAGCCTTTTAGGTTTACTTTAATTTGATTTTTTAAGGTTGCTTTTATGTTATTAATTATTTTGTTTCGTCCTATCTTTTTTATCAAAGTTTTGTTCATAAAGGTTAATATACATATTTACTGAAAAAGCCTTGGTCTAATGACTAAGGTTAAGGCTGGAAAATATAGAAAACCTAGGTTTTAATCCCCCCACTATCCCATCCTTCCCACTTCTTAAATTTTACCCTTTTTGTAGTAGAAAAAAAATAAAAAAAGGAGTTAATATACATATTTAATCAAAAACACATTTTGATGAGGGGAAAAAAAGAAGAGTACGAGCTTGAGGTTGCAGAGTGAACAAAAGTCTCCTTTCCGGTGAAAGTGAGCCCTGGCCCCTATAGCTGTTAACGAGCCGAGCCAAGCTCGAGCATGTGATAATCGAGCTCGACTCGAACACCTAATTGAGCCAGCTCGAGCTCGCTCGATTAGTAATTCGAGCTTTACAAACTATTCGAGATCGACTCAATGTGATCGGTAGAAAACTCAAGCTCGAGCTCGAATTCGAGTTCAAAATTGAGTCGAGCTTATCGAGCTCGAACTCGAGTCTGTCAAGCCTATAGAGTATCAAATACACAATAAAAATGACGCTAATACCCCTACTATTTATAGTAGTTTGGAGTTCGAACTCGAGCCTGTCGAGCCTATCGACCTGTAGAGTATCAAATACACAATGAAATGACGCTAATACCCCTACTATTCGAGCTTGTCGAGCTTAAACGAGTCGAGCATAGCTCGGCTCGTCTATTAAACGAGTATCAAGTTGAACTCGAGCTCGGCTCGTTTCTCTCAATAAACAAGCCGAGTCGAGCCCTTATCGAGTCGGGTCAAGCTCGGCTCGCGAGTTACCCGGTTCGATTAACAGCTCTACTGGCCCCTGTCCTTTCTAGCCGAAGGAATGTTGAGCAGATGCGGGACTTGCGCAAATGAGCTAGAAATTTGCCCAATTTGTGTACGCCCAAAGTCTATCTCTCATCGTAGAGCTGTGGCCCGGTTGGCTTGGGTGGGACGGGACGGTGTCTGTATATGATTTGCTTTAGTCCAAGTTAAACGAATTCACGTCTTATTCCAACTGATTCATATCTAAAGCCGAACGTGTAATTATATCTAAGGGCAAACGTGTTTAAAATGAAACTTGTGAAGCCCCATGCACCAAAATTTTACAAGAAGGATGTGAAGTTTGGCATTGTTTTAGAGCATGAAACGACAGCGAAATTGAAGAAGAACTATCATCAATTCATGCATGTAAAATTATTCTATTTCTACGGAGTTGGATTTGCCAAGTTGACTTGTTGCTTGAGATTTGTCAAATTATCACAAGGGTTATAATTGCAGATCAACCAAATGACAAATAACCGACCATGCAAAGCAACTGCTCATTGGAGAGTGTCTAGTGGTCCCAAGGTGATTTGGACTTCAGTGATTTATGTTTGTGCTTTATGCACAGATTTGAATTGTATCAAATAATGGGTAGACATAGAACTGATCAAAATAAGAAACTCTATAATACATCAGAATCAGCTTAATGGGTTACCAAACATGTAGTGTTAATTTGCTCATCAACACATTCTGACATGATATTAATATCAAGTTTCTGTTTTCAAAAGTCTAAGTGAAGACTGCTTGTTATCATCCCATTTGAAATACTCAAAAAGAAAAATAGATAAATTATCAAAACTATGGCCGTCAGATAGATGTTACTTTGTAGATATACAAGCAACCACGAAAATATGATACCAAAAAAGATTGTTGTAAAATTCAAGAATTTTTAGCAAACTAAGTAGGGCTATGCAGCGTTTGTGTTCACAACTAAAAACAGCTTTTGTATAAGGGAAAGTTCGATTAGGGTTTTAACTGTTGCTTGCTTAAAGGAAAAGGGAAGAAAAAAATTTTTAAAGCAGCCCTTTTTAGTGTGATTAGACCACAAGAAAGGAGAAGGAAGGACAAAAGAAATGCAGTACAAGTAGAACTGTTCTACCAGAACGGTCTTTTGTGCAAATGTGAAAAAAGTGCTAAAAGGGTTATCTCGATTCATAAGACTCGTCTCTAGTTAGTAACATTATGTAAGAATCACAAAATGCCGTCAAAATTTAACCCATGGACATAACTTGCAGGTATTTATCATGAATTTTGGAATGGGCTAACCTTCACCTCGTAAAACTTTCTTTTTCACCCAAAAAAGGAAAAAAAAAAGGGGTAAATGTGAAGAAGGAAGTAGAAAATTATAAGTCCACATCATAACTTTAGGCTTAAAGTGGAGTATGTGGGTAGAGTTGAAGGCTCCTTCAACATGATTTTTACCTCATTTTAGCAAAACCTTGGCTAGCGGCCTACAATTCGCTTCCTGAACGAGCGGATCCCTTAGTCTGCCTTTTCTTCGCCGGAAGCCCGCTCCACCGTTCACGATTCATGGAGTATGGTACGTCTCCACTCTCCAACAAACCATGTCTTTGAGCACTTTGAATGGTAATGC